TAGCAGCAGGGATGTAGCTCTATGTACAGGAGTTCTGTTTGTGCTGAGACCTTTCATCCCTGCAAAAATCAAAGAATTTTGACTGAAAAGTTGAGTATAGGTTCAATATAGTGGCTGAGGCTAAACCAAGTCCCATAAGACGTCTGATCAGTGAGATCAGGGGGTACGCTGCAGGCCTCAGTCAGCAGCCCTTTACAATGTCTCACCTCACTGACACATGCTGATTAACCTCCTCACACTGAGCCGAGGGAAGAAAGTGTGTTGTGTAAGCAAGCGGAGGTCTAACAGCAGTGTGTTGAGGCTTTTTCCTCAGTCCAACACACTTGAATCACGACAAGACAGATAAAAAACTACAGTGTTCATCGTAGCTGGAAGAAGTATTCAGATTGTTCAAATGAACAAAAGTATTATTAGCGAAAGGTACTAAAAGTATCAAAAGTTGACCGTTTATTAGGTACACAAATGCCACAGTCCTTCAGTAAATCAGATGATTTATTTGTGTGTCAAAATAACAAATATCTACTTTGCAACCAACAGATTTTTGTTTTGAAATGAGAAAAATTAAATCGGGAAACCAAAATTTTCCATTTTTTTCATGTTTCTCGAAATTCAAAACAAAAATCCGTCCAAATGAATAGAAATGTAATGATCGTCTCTGTTTGAGTTGAGATGATGTACAGGTATTTTATTAAACACACATCATTCAATCATTTAATTAATTGCACTTTCCTGTCTGTTTATTTATTATTCCTTATATGTAGCATCTAGTCAGCAGCTCTTTCAGGTTTAAACACACCAGGTAGACATGGGTGAGTGCAGAGATCCTTTTCTGTATTAATAACTGAATTTAAAATGTTTCCCAGAGCAGCTGCTGCAGTTTAAAACACAAACATGTGACAGATGATCTGTAGCCAAAGGCAACTGCGCAAGTGTGTTAAAGCAAATTTAGAGCACATAAGATATAAAATATTCACATAACAAGGTCATAAACATGTTCTGTAAGTCACTAATTATTACTGATTTATTACTTTGATAACTATTGCTGAATTGATCACTGTGACGTAAATGAACTCACTCCAGTTCTCGGCTGATCTGGGAGCTCTTGATGTCGTTCACCACTGCATCGGCCCTCGTGTTCAGATCTGTGAAATAATCATTGAACTTGTCGACGGTGACCTCCCAGGGTTTCCTCCACTCATCCTGAGACACGCTTTTTGCATGGCAGCCTGGTTTGGACAGACACAAACATCTCAAATGTTCACTTCTGAATCTTTTAGATGGGAAATGAAACAAGAACGGAAGAAGTTCTGCGTTGGATTACAGATTAAATGCCTTTTAAGTGTCATTTTATTGAAGGATTTCTCTTCAGCTCTGATGGACAAGACGCTTTATAAAATCTGAGTCCCGTGTTTGTAAATGGGCTCGGAGGAGACAGATTTTAGTACTTCAGAAACCACAAAAGAAACCTTAGGACTGATCTATACACTGCTGACGTTTAGACACAACTAGTGACACAGCTTCTTTTGCTTTCTTTATATTATTAGCATTAGCATTAGTGTTAGAATTTATTTTAGTTTTAGTAGTAGTAGTAGTGTGAGAGCTTTGGTGGCCCAGAAGTAGGTGGTATTTTCAAAATAAAAGCCCCAAACGGTAACAGGAGTTTAAAGGCAGGTTTTTCTGAAGTGCTGAAAACTTTCAAAATAGAAATATCAGTGAGTTTCTTTCTTTATTTCCTTCTTTCATTTTTCTTTCTTTCTTTCCTCCCCCTTTCCTTCTATCCTTCTTTTGCTTAATTTTACAGCTTTTCATGCATTTACTTGGTCATTTTCTTCAGGAAATGCTTTTTCTAGTTTAAACCTATGTGTATAATTTTTTCTTAAAAGCTGTTTCTTCTCCCATACCTCTGTTATGCTAAATCCTAATATTTTTAAATAATTTAAAATTCCAATAAAACATTTTTGTCCCTAAGAAGAGATTTTGAACTCACCTGAGAGGACAGCCAGCACAAAGATTACTGCAAAGATCCTCATGGTGATGAAACAAGGACACCTGCAATATCATATAATAAATATGTTAAAATAATATCAGTCAATTTAGTAGTTTATTAACTTTAATTCACCTCTTGAACTTTAATTTCAAGACTTTTTTTAAGTCAGATATAACATCTTATTCATCTGAGTCTTCAGTGAGGTTTTCATAAACTGTTGTAAACTCAAACTCTATACTTTAAACTTTTACTTTAAATGGAAAATAAATGTTGCAGATTGTGTGACACAGTTTAAAACAAATAAAAAAAACAACAACCATCTGTTAAAGATTTACATAAATCTTCTGTGACTTACCTCAGTGATCCTGATCTGTGACGTCTGTGAGACTGACTGAGCTCGTCACTCAGTATTTATACAGTTTAAGTGACATTGATTTGACCCAATAAATGTCAGGAAGATTGCTGACTTGTGTCCGAAGTTCCCAACATGAACTGCGTTGTTGTCACCTTTTATTGCTGTGCGTGTGTTATTTTGGCTCCACGTCACACACTGAAAGTACACATGCAAGCAACAAAAATATCTGAGCAGAGTTTGCATGCGATTAATGCCTCTGAATTATGAGTAGAAGAGTTTGATATCATTAGTTTTTAGAACAGTTGCTTAAATAAAATGTAATCTTGTTTTCTTTTCACTCAACTGCAGATTATTGTGACTGCACCATCAGATAATCAGAAAAAACGTTTCAAATATTTTCCTCTGTTCTCGTCTGTCACAACCACAAAGGCCAAAGGTCATTCTGGTATCATATCATTGTCCAGCAGATCTGGTTCAGAGTCTGCTTTTACAACCGCTACCTCCATTCATACAACATTTATAAGATGGGAAACTTTCCAATAAACTGCCCTTCATACAGATTGGGGGGTAATCAATAATCAAAAAAACATTATTTTTATTGTCTTTATGTCTGTAAATCAACTTTTAACCTCACTGCTGATAAAAATATAAACAGACATGAAGCATTAAATACATAAACAACAATTAAAGTTAAATGTTAAAGGTGGTTCCTAACCTGTCAGGAGGCAAAATAAAGATTGAAAGAGATGATTTTATGATATAAAAGCAGAAAAAAAAACATCTTCCTCCAAATAAATCCTGAAAATTTTCCTCCGCTGGATGATTAAAATCTTTAAAGTCTTTTAAAAGTATTTAAATAAAGCAAGAAAATCCAACCAGAGACGATATTACTTTATTTTGATGGTCAAAAGGCAAAATGTTTGATTGAAGAAACAAGCTTGTGTTTTTTCAGTTTTTGTATCAGCTTTTATTCAGGATATTTTAAATGTTTTTATTTGCAGACGAAGATATGCAGCTCTGGTTATTTCAAGACTTTTTGGTAAGAAGAGGTCAAAACTCCAGAAGCAGCACATCATCCTCATCCACCTGCATGACCCTGATGAAGGTCAATAAAGTTGTTCTATATACAATGAAGTGTTTTCATCTCTTCTGACTTTTACCTTTCTCCATGTACTGGAAGAAGTGAAGTTGTGCCAGAAGGGAAAATAGTGAAACATTGTTTTTTTCATCCAGGTTGAAGCAGTGGTGGAAACTACCCCTCAACAACTGGTACAATTTGGGCAACTGCTATTTGTTTATTGATACACTTTTTATTTTGCACATCCATGATGCTCTTCTGTCTTTCTGTGTTTGATGGTTTGCCATTAACAGAACTTACTAACATTAATTTGAAGTCGCTGCCATTCAAAAGCAGGAAGTGGTTGTTAAGAGTAAAGTTAAAGTTAAAGACTCAGGCTGTCATGATGGATTTATGATGAAACATTTAACCTTTTTCTAGCATGTAAGTCAGCCTATATTGCATTTTCCCCACTTGAAAGGCTCCTCAACACGTTTTCTTGCACATTTGGCCACCAGAGGGCGCTATTGTGGTGTTTTTGTCAAACATAGGGGAACAGCCACAGGGGCCAAAAGCACCAATAACAAGAAGATGGTCATTATGTAGCTTAAAGGTCCAGTGTGTAACATTCAGGAGGATCTACTGACAGAAATGTAATATAATATTCATGGGGTGCAGGCATCAAGGCAAAGGGCGCCAACAGACTGAACAAACTCATTAAGAAGGCCGAGTCTGTTGTTGGCTTGAAGCTTGTCACCCTGCAGGAGGTGGTGGAGGAGAGGATGCTGGCAGAACTGCTGGCAATCATGGACAATCCCTCCCACCGCCTCCACACAACACTGGACACGCTAAAGAGCAGCTTCAGCAACAGACTCATTCAACCACGCTGCTCTAAGGAACGATACAGGAGATTGTTCCTTCCAAGTGCAACAAGACTTTTTAATAATAATTGACTCTTAACTCAGCTGCTATGATCTTATAATTTCCCTTCGGGGATGAATAAAGTATTTTCTATTCTATTCTATTCCATCTATTCTATAGGTGTGTTTTTGTTACGTTAGAATGAGTTGTTTTTATCTACAGACGCTGCAGGTCGCCTTCCACAGAGGCCGCCATGAACTCCATGGAAGTGTTTTTTACAGTATCTACACTGTAGGGCTTTCCACTTCACAGCCCCTTCTCATTCCCAGGTCTTATACAGACATGAGCGGTGTTCAGTTAGTTACAGACTAAAGCTTAATCTACACACTGGTCCTTTAACAAAAGCACAACAGAGTTCAACAATCTGATTCAGTTGTTCCAGTTATGCAACAAAATCTATCTATCTTGTTTGTAAGAGAGAAATTGTGTTATTTCCTCTCTTAATTCTCTCGCTTTAATATACCTTTATGAGATTATCTTTGATGTGTAAATGTAAAAATGTTGGACAGCAACAGTTAAATTACTGACCTGTTGTGGTTTTTCCACTTCAAATACAAAGAAAGTGACAAAGAGTTCGGTCTAGACCTGCTCTATTTGAAAAGTGTCCTGAGATAACTTCTGTTATGAATTGGCACTATACAAATAAAATTGAATTGAATTGAATTGAATTGAACGCAAAACACATTTAACCAATTTATTGTTCTTTTACAAGTTATAGTTGTAACACAAAAGAGGAAATACTGATATTATTGAGAAGGTTGCCTTTGAGAGCATCTTTCATCAACATAGAAAATGAGGTATTGCACTTTGTATCTGTCCCAAAATTCAAAACTGAGTATAGATATTAGTCCGTTTACTGGGTCAGCTTAGTGAAGGACCTCCACAGGGAAGTCAGCTGCCTCTTCAGGTTCTTGGTGTCGGCGTCCAGCTTGGCCCTCAGCTCCTCTCCCAATGGAGCCAGGTTCTGCTGGATCTCCTGGGTTTTCTGGGTCAGCTGGGTCTCAAAGCTCTGGGCCAGGGGGATCATGCTCCTCTGAAACTCGTCCAGGCTCTGCTCCATCTTCTCCTTCATCTCCTCGGTGTAAGGAACCATCTGGGCCTGCAGCCTGATCATGCTCTCATCCATTTGCCCCTTCAGCTCCTGGGTCTTCTGCAGCAGGACGGCCTTCAGGGTCTCGGAGTCCATGCTGTTGGCGTAGGGGGTCGCGTCCCTCTTCAGCTCCTCCACCTGCCTCTGGAGGTCAGCTACCAGCTCTGTGGCGTAGGGCTGCAGATGGGTTCCCATGGCGGTCAGATCTTTCTCCACGCGGGTCTTCAGCTGCTCGGCCTCCTGGGCAAACTTAGACATGAGGTCTTGGGTGAGAGGAGCCACCTTAGTACGCAGAGCGTCTGTGAGCTTGTTGACGGCGTCGGTGCTCTCGGAGATGAGGGTGCTGCAGAGACAGAAACAGACACACAGGGTAAGTCATGAGGAACTCTTGTTCGTTCTTTATGTATTCATCATCCTCTCTGAGCTGAAACGTGCAACAGAAAATAACAAAAACAAAAACAAAAAGTCAGTAATTTAATGCAAATGTTAAATTTTTTAAAGGCCCTGAAAACATTCTCAATCAGCATACAACCATACACTTTTGAACAGCTTTGGTTATTTCACATTTGAGATTTCTGTTATTCTCTGTTCTTTTCATTGGTTTAAAGTGGGCATGGCATACTTAAGCCATAATTAAATCTGGTGACAGCTAGTGGGTTGATCACTGTCAATCAAACCTGATCAAACAAAGTCCTGATAGAGCAAATTAACTGAGTTTTTGAGCCTTAAACTGTAGCTTTTTTTGTCATAGGATGTTTTCAGGGGCTTTAATTTCCTTTACGGCTTTAGTTTGTGCGTCTTTATCAATTTGAAACTCTTACTTCACTTCCTTGCCCAGCTGGGACTGTCTGATCTGCTTCAGGGAGTCCTCTGCAGTCATGGTTGCCTTGGCAACGTAGTCCCAGAAAACATCTTTCACCATGTCGACCTGCTGCTTGGGCTGGTTTTGCCGCACGATGTTGGCATTGCAGCCGGCTGAAAGGACAGAGGTAAAGGCCATTTAGTGTCACAAGTTGAACACTGAATACTGAAAACTTCAATGATTTTCACCAAAAACTTTCTCACCTGTGAAAACAGCGAGGGCGAGCACCACAAGGACCTTCATGATTGACACTGCAGCTGGAAAGAAACATGCAAAATTATCTCTTTGTGGTTGATTTTCCCACATGTGTCTCATAACCTGAAGAGGGACATTGTCTTACTGGTGTCTTACCTGTGTGGACGAAGCTTGCTGTTCAGTCAGTGAGCTACTGAGTACAGAGTGTGAGTATATATAGGCAGCCGGGTCGTATGGAGGACACACAGGAGCAAAGTCCAGACGCAGAGTGCCGTGCTGTCACTGCTGCTTCCACATCACAACAGTGCTAACGGTGGTGTGTCAGGGACGACATCATCACCGTCTGATGAAACCTCATGTACATTATTAACATCATGTCACTATACATCAGGCAGCTTTAGGAGCAAGATTGTAGCTCAGGTTTTATTTTAATAGTAATAAGATTATGTGACTCTTTCTAGGTCTTTTATCAGAACAAGATAATAAAGTTGGAAAACTGTAGGCCTATATGTGTGTGTATAACTGTGTGTAAAAAAACCCCAATATACTATGCTATATATAGAACTATATACAGTATATATGAATACAAAACATATATTTTGTGTCCTAGCTCTGGTATTTCATTCAGCTTTATATTCGGTTAAAAAGGAATTTATTGATGTTGACGTTGTTGTTGGAAACGTGAGCAAACAAATTAAATTAAAACTCAACATTTCGATTAAAAAACATCTTAAAAATAATAATTATAGTAATAATAAAGACTTGAAAAAGATTCTTCAGCCTTGCTAGTGACTCTGTGAGGCTGTATGTGAGCTAAATGTTACTGTTAGTGTGCTGATATGGTCACAATGTTTATAATCTTCATCAGTTACAGTTTAGCTGGTTAGTGTGATAATATTTACTAATTAGCACCAGGTATAAAGTAAAGGTGAGGCCGATGAGAATGTCATTAGTTTTGCAGGTTTTTGGTTATAAACTGACCTTTCAACTTGTGCAACCATCAACATTTTAATTTGTGTAATTACTTCAGAGGACCACTAAAGTCATTACGTTTCATCCTGAGGGGAAAATGAATCTTTGTACCAAAATTCGTCCAATTGTTGTTGAGACATTTCACTTAAAACCACCAAAGTCACAAAGGTCACCCTGTCCTAATGCAGTTCATAGTTGTTGACCAACAACCCACGCGCCAACATGGCTAAAAACAAAAGAATACAAGGCAGTATAGCACAACATTATTACCATCCCCCACTTTAGTTAACAAGTACCCACCAGTCATAAAATAATACTGAATCAAACTGGTAAAAAAAAAACATATTTCTTCCCCACGAAATCAGACTGTCCTCTACTGGATAATTTGACCTCTTTAAAGTCTTTAAAAAGGATTTAAATAAACAAAAAGAGACGATATTACTTTATTTTGGCGGGTTACAAGCCAAAAAAAGATGCTTCTATTTGTATCAAGATTTAAGATTAAGATATAAGAGGTCAAAACCCGACTCTTTAGCTACGCAGCTAACATATTTAAAAACAAAAAAAGAACATTTAGTTTAATATAGCACATAGTACAAACAATATGCGATTATAATGCTATTCCCCACTTTGGTGTATCTCACCAGTCATAAAATAATACTGAAGTAAACAGGTAGATAATATAACTTATAACATATTTAACTCACACTGGTGAAAAACACTGAGTTTGGGTCCCTCGTATGTATCATGTGTAAACACATTGATGAGTTGTGACAGAGAAACACTCCTGATGAAGATCCTGAGTACAGTACAGATACTGCATTGTTTCTGTTGATTACTCTGTAGTACTCAAGAGGCACAAACACACACATTGATTCACTTAAATGTTCTCAACTTCTGTCGGATGTGAGATGTGAGCCGGACTTTGACCCCCCTGACCTGCAGATTATCGCTTCTGAGGAATGTTACGTTTCCTTATACAGCGATTGTCTCCAGACTGACTGATAAGGCGGAGAAACTACTGATAAACATCCAGCTGTTTGACTCTGACTCACACAGGGACCTTCAAACTAATTATTAGAAGACAGGGAGAAAGCTATGTTCCCAAACATCAGTCCCAACCTTTTTTCCTTAAGAGACCCCTTTTTCTATCATTTAGTAAACTGACTAAGTGACATATTTGATGGATATATGACCCCAAATAGTGAACTCAATAACTGCAGGAAGTTAGAACAATATACATACAGACTTAATGAACTTGTCCCTGATGTTTGGCCATTATTCTATTAGACAATTTACTTTACATTAATTTACAGAAGAAAATGATGAAGCTTTGGCAACCCCTAGTGGGGGACCCGACCCTCAGGTTGGGAACCATTGGTTTAAGTGAAGAGGGAACGATGGCCTTGTTGCCAAAAAATACATAACAGAAGACTTGTTTAGACAGATTTGCTGAGCTAACATGTTGACTCATTACATAAGATTTCTGTATTTTTTTTCTCTAACTGCTGATAATTATACTACGCACTGATTAATATTCTTTAATGACAAAAGGTTAAATGACTAATGAAAGATATGGAATTATCTACAACATTAATATTATTATCATTATTATTGTGTATTATGATTTGTTTAAACTGTTTAAATTTCTCTGTTTCTCGACATCATTGTAAATGAGGGAAACCTCAATGATTCTCATAAATTAAAGGTTTGATTGATTGATTGACTATGTGAAAGTTGTCACTGACAGCGATAAACCCACAGAGAATTATCCTCTGCCTCCACAGCTCCTCTCAGCTCTACTGAGCTTTTATGCACTTTTAAACTGATTGTTTTGTTTTTTAGAGCCTTGCACCTGCTGGTATCATCATCTCATAGGAGGGCCCCTTCAACGTTCAAGTACTACAAGAAAGCACAAATTTTCTTACTGATTACTAACATCATACTTAAAGCTGCAGTAGATAAGTGGCCAGGAACATGAGTCCAGTGGGATGCTAATGGTGTTTCGTATCTGCTGAATGTGCTTGCTTACATGTTTGCCAAAATGCCCCAAAATTACTGCACTTTAAATGCCCAGTAGTCACTGCCTTGTGTTTACCTGCTGCTCGTGATTTTAACCCATTCAGATGCTAGAGAATATGTGTCACGGGATGAGAAGGTGATGGCACTTCACTTAAATTATGACGTGGAGTGACTACGGTGACAAGAATGTGTCCAGCGGGGCAACCAGAGAGGGACTTTACCCTTCAAGATGGCTATAAAATCTCTGAACGCCTGTCTGTACAGCACAAGTCATCAGACACAGAGTGAAGAAGAGACAAGCTGCCTCTGCAAGGTAACTCATTTTATATCATTATAACTAAATTAATTTGTGTTAATTAAATGTTTTTTTTTATAAATTGTAATTTTATTTTCTTTATCCAACAGAGTCAAATCCAATCATGAAGGTACTTGTGGTTCTCGCTCTTGCTGTTTTCTCTGGTGAGTGAATTAAAACTTTATCCATCGAAACCACAACTGGTGAATAAATGTTCCTCTCAAACTCCTGTGCTAAATGTTCTGTTTTATCCGCAGGTTGCAATGCCAACATCCTGTGGAAGGAGCCACCCAAGAGCAATCTGGATATGGTGAAAGATGCTTTCTGGGACTACGTTGCTAAAGCGACTCTGACTGCTGAGGACTCCCTGCAGCAGATCAGACAGTCCGAGCTGGGACAGGAAGTGAAGTAAGAGTCAACATGATAGAGAAGTCTAACTAAATTAGAACTATACATTGTGTTTCAGTTTAATAACTCTTTGTTTCTGTGTCTTTCAGTGCCAGGATCTCTCAGAGCGCCGACACAGTGAATCAGTACGTTGTTTCTCTGCGTACTCAGGTGGCTCCTCTCACCCAGGAGTTCATGACTCGCTTTTCCCAGGAGGCCGAGCAGCTGAAGGCCCGTCTGGATAAAGATCTGACCGCTGTGAGCACTAACATGCAGCCCTACGCCGAGGAGATGGTGGCACATCTCCAGAGGCAGGTGGAGGAGCTGCGGAAGGAGGCAGCCCCCTACGCTGAGGCCATGGACCCCGAGGCCCTGAAGGCCGTCCTGCTGCAGAAGACCCAGGAGCTGAAGGGGCAGCTGGATAAGAGCGTGAGCGAGCTGCAGGCCCAGATGGTTCCCTACACCGAGGAGATGAAGGAGAAGATGGAGCAGAGCCTGGACGAGTTTCAGAGGAGCATGACCCCCTGGCCCAGAGCTTTGAGACCCAGCTGACCCAGAAAACCCAGGAGATCCAGCAGAACCTGGCTCCATTGGGAGAGGAGCTGAGGGCCAAGCTGGACGCCAGCGCTCAGGACCTGCAGGCTCAGCTGTCTGTTCTGTGGGAGTCTTTCAATAAGAAGACCCAGTAAACAGACTCCACACAGCAAATATTTATTCTAACTCTATGTTGTATATTTTATCAAATAAAAATTGAACCACCAAAGTTCAGTCTCAACTTGACTTTTTCACACAAGAGTGACTCTATTTTTATACCATATATGATTACACAAAGGGAGAATTATATAAAGCTTTAAAATACAACACAAACACCGAGACACAACTCACAGAGTCACTTTGTGCAGGATCGTCAGTGTTATTGTGTTTACGCGTTGCTGAGTCGTGTTTCATTCCTGTGTTGGGTTTGCCAGTTTAAAATGAACTCTACTATTAAACATTGAAATACTGCTGAAGTGCCTCTGGTCAACAAACTAAAGCAACCCATCTCCAGATCTTAAATCTGTTCTGTGGTTGGTGAGGTAAATGTTTATTAGTTTTACAAGGATGTGTGATTTTTATTTGCTTCTCTGTGCTCACTCTTAACTTGCACTTTTAACAACCTAATACTAGTTACATCCAGCATTTAAGAATTAGAATGAGCACACTTACATTAAAACAAATCTTTCCTCTATATAAAATAAAAACAAAACTTGAAAACAAATATATAAAAATACATTTTTCTTAATGAGTTATTACCCGTTTCAATAATGTATTTCACATCACAACAGAGGACTAATCAATATATTTATTTACTGTATTAAAATGGATGCAGGGACTCACAATTTAGTAACCTGTTCACTTACTTCTAGGTGCAAGAGTTTAACACATTTGTTAACAACCAAATATCAAACAATCTTTCTTGTTTCTAAAGGATTCATGTTAATGTAATATTAGGATCTAATGGTGAATGAATATTCTATAGTTAGATTCACTTTATTTCAAAACATATTATTCTTACTATTACTAAACTTAACTATTCAAAA